GTGTACCCCTGCACCTTTTTGTATAAATTGCAAGGGTGAGCATCCAGCATTTTCATGCCTGTGCCCAAAATCGAAATCAGGAAAAGAAGTGCAGTCTGCAAAGGTTACTAGGAACATCTCATGTGCCGAAGCCAGAAGATTAGTCCAAAGCACACAGCTTCGACCAAATACATCATACACCAGTGTTGTAAAATCATCTCGTACAGTGTCCACCCAAACATCAATAGGTACGGAGATTCTGCCAAATAAAACTTAATCGACTACATCCACCAAGAAAAAAGAAAATTTTACTCATTTAGTAGAAGAAAAAAAAAAGAAACAATCATTCAAAGTAAACCCAAAACTGCCACACAAAAAATATCAAATAAAAATAGAAGTCCCAGCAATAGCTCTCTTGATGGAATGATTTCTGAATCTGCGGATTCAGACAGTATGGAAGTAGAAGAGGGTCTAGAAGTTCCCAGGCATCTACTTCCACGAAAAACAAAAGAACAGCACAGAAAGAACAAAAACCATTCATAATGGCCACCCTCGTGTCATGGAACTGTCGCGGTTTCCACCGAAATTTGCTTGACATCAAATCTATAATAAATGCGTATCATCCTGTGTGCTTAGCAATACAGGAAACAAATCTGAAACCAGAACAACATGCAAAACTTTCGGAGGTTTTCTTTCGTCAGGAAGGATAACCTTGCAGGTGAGCGTGCCAGTGGAGGTGTAGGTCTCCTCTCCTCACTGGATTATCCCTCAAATGTACTTTCTTTGACGACATCCCTCCAAGTTTTCGCTACTCAAACAAATTTTGATATTGTTGTTTCATTTGTTTCACTGTATTTCCCTCCAAATGAGCACATTTATCAGGGAGATTTAAATGATCTTATAGAGCAGCTGCCTAAGCCCTTTATCATAATAGGATATTTTAATGGCCATAGTCTGCTCTGGTGTAGTAAAGATACAAATTCCCGAGGAAGACAAATTGAGCAGATGATTGAAGATCATAGCCTTTGTCTATGGAATAATGGGCAGGATACGTACTTCTATGAGCCTTCAAGGACATTTCACGCTCTCGACCCTGCCATCTGTTCACCATCTCTGTTGCCATTTTTCAGTTTTAGTGTGGATAATGATCTTCACAACAGCAATCACTATCCCATGTCATGATCCCCTCGGTTCATACTCGATAGAGCGGACTGGGAACTCTTTTCTTCCGTTGCAGAAATCGCAGAGGAAATGGTAGAAGATGTGCATATCGATGATGCTGTTAAAGCTGTTACTAATACTATTATTCAGGCAGCTATGCTTTCCATTCCTAGAACATCAGGAAAAATACTAAAATATATGAAACCATGGTGGAATCGCGACTGTCATGAAGCACTGAAAAAAGCATGGGGAATTTTTCGTAGATATCCTACTCTGCGAAACCTCATAGCATTTAAAAGAGCCAAAGCAAATGCACGAAAAGTAAGGAAAGCAGAGCCAAGAGGGATTCCTGGATTTCATATGTGTCCTCAATAACATCCTCCTACGCCTAGTAAGCAGGTTTGGGAAAGAGTTCGAAAAGCATGCGGAATGTATAAAGACCACTCACTTTCCTTTTTGGAAAATGATGGCCAAGTGATTAGCTCTATAGGAAGAAATTGCGAATACTGTTGGTGAGACATTTGCTGCCATTTCTTCCAGCAGAAACTATTCACCTGCATTTCTCTCTATCAAGCAGCACTCTGAAATAAATCCCATTGCATACAACTCTTCCAAATCTGAGCCTTACAATAGAAACTTTACTATGGCTTGAATTAAGGAGAGCTTTGTTGCAGACACATAGGTCTTGTCCGGGTCTTGATGGCGTGAATTATGAAATGCTAAAATCTGTCCTATAAGTCACTGAATGCCCTTCTCACTCTTTACAATAGAGTGTGGAAGGAGCGTACACTTTTCCCAGTGCATGGAGGAGAGCTGTTGTCATTCCTATTGCGAAGCCAGGGAAAGACCCAAGGAATCCCTCCAACTATCGGCCAATTGCCCTTACGAGTTGTTTGCAAACTGTTTGAAAAGATGGTAAACAGCCGCCTAGTCTACTTCTTGGAAAAGAATAATCTTATATCGTCTTATCAAAGCGGGTTTCGAAAAGGGAGAACTACTGTAACTAATATGCTCCTGTTAGAGACATCCATTCAAAAAGCTTTTGTAAGAAGAAGTCACCTTGTCTCGGTATTCTTTGATATTGAGAAAGCTTATGATAAGGCATGGAGATACGGTATACTTCGGGATCTTCACGAGAGTGGCTTGCGCGGCAACCTACCAATTTTCATTCAGAATTTCTGGAACACTAGATCTTTTCAAGTAAGGATTGGCTCTGTTTTGTCGGAAGTTTTCAAACAGGAAGAGGATGTGCTTAGTGTAACTCTGTTCAGCCTAAAAATAAATTTTCTATTAAAACAACTTCCTCCGACAATTTCAGGATCTTTATATGTTGATGATCCACAAATTAGATGTTGAGGTGTGGACATGAGACGTGTAGAGAGGCAAGCTGCAGATCGCTTTGAAAAGGATCCAAGAATGGTCAAAAAGACAAGGATTTACTTTTTCAAAACAGAAAACTGTGTGCGTGCATTTTTGTAGAAAGCGAGGTCTCCATCCTGAACCTGAGTTATATCTGAATGGTACATTATTCCAGTTGCCCTGAAAGTAAAATTTTTAGGAGTGACGTTCGACCGAAAATTGACTTTCCTTTCTCATGTCCTTAAACCTGAGAAAAAAGTGAAAAAAACATTTTAATATTTTAAAAGTCCTGGCGAACACCTCCTGGGGTGCAGAGCGTTGCTCCTGCTTCGCATTTACAGAGCTCTGTTCGCTCTAGGCTGGCTCAGTCAGTTGTTTACGGATCCGCTCGGTCTTCAGTGTTGTTAAAACTAGATTCTGTTCATCATCAGGCTCTGCCGATTTGTTCTCTAGCCTTCAGGACATCTCCTGGCCAGAGCTTTTATGTTGACTGTTACGAACCATCACTCAGTTTGAAGCGTGAGGAGTTGTCTCTTTTACAGTATTTTAATATTTTATCTGAACCTAACCATCCTTATAAACTCTGTTTACTTGATAATAGCTGCAACCTTTTATTTGAGGCATGACCATCCTGTGTGCCTTCTTTTCCTGTCAGAGTTCATCCCCTCATTGAAGAATTCTCCCTGTCTGATATGTCCCCACAAGCAGTACAGCATTTTGAAATCCCACCTTGGGAAAATGCACAAATCCAGTTTCTTGATAATTTCCACAGTTATATCAAAACAACTACTAATGAGAGCATCTACAGACAATTTTTTCCTCAGCACAGGCATAGTTACAGGAGTTATGTTTTCATATATACGGATGGATCTAAGCCAGCTTGCCATGTTGGGATGTCATTTATAATTGGTGACCACATGGAAAGCAGACGTTTACACGATGCTTCCTCTGTCTTAACCTCCGAACTGACTGCTATATATTATGCGCTTTTGTATATCTCAATGCTGCACCATGGAAAATTCATTGTATATACAGACTCCTACAGTGCATTGAAAGCTTTAGAATTCTTTTGTAGCACCGAGAATCCTGTGATAGTGGATGTTCTCAAGTTGAATATTAAATTGACAAGTTGTTAATATGAAATTCTGTACTACTGGGTCCCCAGACATACGGGAATAAAGGGCAATGAGCTGGCAGACATCGTAGCGAAATCTGCTGTTGAAATGTCCGGCCGTCTCATCCCTTTTAGAGATATCCGTTGTGCCATCAAAGAGAAGATTAGAAATAAATGCCAGCAACTTTGGGACATTCAGATTCATAACTAGTTGAGAAGGGTGAAGGCTAAAATAGAGCATTGGCATACTACTTGCAAGGAGCAAGTTCTTTTGAGGTGCCTTAGAATTGGGACACTAGAGTGACGCATAGCTACCTTCTGAGAGCTGAGAGTGAGCCTGTTTGTGCAAATTGTAATGTTTGTCTATCGCATTTTAATTGAGTGTCCATAGAGAAGTATTTTAATAGATGCAACCTACCTCTGAACCGTTTAATCAGAAGAGAGGTCAATACCAATTTGTTTCATTACCTGAAAGAAACAGGTTTCTATTATTTAATTTGATTTTATCCGGAGATTTTGGTTGGAATTTTATGAATCTGTTTTAGGATTTTATATCTATACTGCATATCTCATTATCTGAGTCATAATCAGCATTTTCATCCCATCATTTCAATATCTTTTTACTTGCCTCGATTTTAAAAGTGCGCTGTTGTCTTTAGATTTTTTTTCTTTATCTAAAAGCTATAGTTTATATGTTAAAAAACGAATCCTGTGTTTGGCGCATATGGCCTGTAGAGCTTTGCGTCATAAATCTACTACCACCACCACCTATGGTTGTCCTTCTGTAATCATCAACACTGCAAATAAAAAAATTCTTAGGCCTTTTTTTATACATAGAATAAACTTGCAGGTCTTCAAAATTCAGGGCAAGCAAGCAAATACTGTGTTAAACAGAATGAAGTGAAAAATCTTTAGCAACTTCTCTTTGTTGCAATAAAAACCAGAAATTTTAATTTCAAGAAGTTAGAAATATTCCTTGCCTTAATTCAGCTTTCAGTTTGGATTTTGTGGAAGCTTCTGAAATTTTCCTCTATAGCAATCTTGCGAAGGACACAGCCTCCACTTCATTTCTGTTGGAGGTGTGAAAAATCTGTTAGAAACCCCTTTTATTCTTTTGACTTAAGTATTCCAACTTCGTCAGCCTCTACAACTTTACATTTACTGCCATAACAGCATGTGTTGAAATGAGCTCCAACAAAACTGCATTCTGTGCTGAAATTTATTTATGCTAGTTATTGCACAGCATTTCCTTGTTCACTATTAAACTGTACAAAGTTATTTACCTAAGATATTGGTTTATTACCAGGTGTTTGTGTTTTGGTTATAAGTATTTAAAAACTTTTTGGTGTATCGTTTTTTCGTGTAACAAGTATTATATCTTTTTCAGACCTTTTCAGAAATGGAAGCTGCTAATCTGCACAGCACTTTGAGTGGTGATCGAGCTTCTGGTGAGATTGCTGTTATATATTTGAAGTTTGTATAAATGAAATGTCTGAAAATATTTATTTAAACCTGCATTTAAAAATAATTTGACATTTTGAGATTCAGGTTTTTAATTGTATTTCAAGGGAAAAATTCTGTTTGCTGAGGAATGTTTTCACCCCTTTCATCACATACATACTCAATAATGTTAGTTAATTATTAATTGTACCAGCCAGTTTATTGTTTCTTGCTTGTTGCATTATTCTTCTGATAAATGGTGTAATATGAGATTTTTCTTACAAACAGATTGCTTTAGTTAGTTTAGATTTAATAAGTTAGAAATTTGTGTAATTTTTAAAACATGTTCTGTTCTGTCTTATGCACTTATAATTTGATTGTTACTAAAGTAACTGTAATGGGAAGATAAATTATTTATAAGCATTTGCAGTTATATTCTATTTATTTAAAGTGACTGACAGAAAACTAAACATTTAAATTTTTAATTTTAACATTTTTAGTTTTAATTTAAGCGTTAAAAATAAAAATTTTTAGTGGGCAAGCTGGAAATAGTAATCTGTTAAATATTTCATATTGTGCAGTTACATTTCTTTTAACCTAGTTAAACTGGTGTAGTGAAAATTTTACGTCATTGTTCCCACAGAGCAAACAAACAAAAAACACTAGAAAGAGCAGAAAGTTATACAAATACTTTTAAATTAAGTATATAAGCGTATTGTTGTATAAGTGATTAAGAATTTCTTTGTCAAATAAAATCGACTCATTGTTTTTGGTGAAAATTAATATGCCACAAGGTATTTCCCAGATAAGTAAAAACGTCTAAATAAAACTAGTTGCCTGAATCTCCAAGGTCTGTACCATAATGCTCAAAGATTAATGTTTTTCATTCATGTCATTTTATGAAGTTGTATGCAACAAATTGAACAAATACAGTCAAACAGCACCTTTCATTGTGTACTGATGTTTTGCTTAAATTATGTTTTAATTTATATGCGTAAATACAAAAACTATGATAATTTATATTGGACACTAACACGTAATTTATGTTTGACCATTTAAATTTCATTTATAAAGGATGATAAAAAAGTTTGTTTCAGGACATCACTGCAGCATATACGTAAATTAGTGTATACACGATACAGGCATACGAGCACCAACAGCTTGGCATGGGGTGGCATTCATCTATTTCCAAAGAATATGGGAAATGCTCAGAACATTAACAATTGCAATGTTGTTACCAAATGCATCCAGACAGCTTTTATTCTTTTTTTTTCTTTTTTTTTTTTTTTTTTGCCTGCCAAAAGACAAAAACCAATAGACATTCATCAGGGAATGAAGAATGTGTATAGAGCAGCATGCCTGTTGAAACATTGTGGAATTGTGCCCTTTATTCAATGCTGGTCATGATTTGACTGAAGATGCAAGTCCATCTGGGAGGCTGTTCACATCCATTACAAACAAGCTGACAGTTGATAATGCAATTAGTGCAGAACATCATATTCATATGCTATGTGAGGATCTTAACAGTTTAGGTAGTGTGCAATACGTCATCCAGCAAGAGTTAAGCTAGAGTAAAGTCTACATCCAGTGGATATCCTGGACGTTCGATTCCACATAAAAATCAAATCGGATGGCTGTTTGCCTAATGCAGTTTATGCATTTAAACATTGAAAGCAAAATGAATGCATTGTTGCAGGTGATGAAAGCCGGTACCACCACCGGGAGCCTGAGTCAAAAGTGTTGATTGTGCTGTGCTGACATCCTTCATTCCATCATCCCAAGAAGTTTAAGAGCCAGTCATCTACTATAAAAGTGATGCTTACCCTGTTCTTTATTTTCCAGAATCCATTGCTTATTGATTTCAAGGATCTAGGTATCTGCATCACTTGTGAACAATACTGCAAAATGCTAGAGAGATTATGACATGCAGTGAGGGCAAACTGTCTGAAAGCTGCAGAATCAGGTGATTCTGCTTTATGATAACGCACATCCCCATATCGCAAATGTCGTATCGTAGAAGTTACACTGAAATGGGAGACACTCGAGCGTCCCTCTAACTGTCCTGATCTCTCTTGATACGATTTTCATGCCTTTGGTCCCTTAAAAACGTCGTTGGAATGTCAATGGTTCTGGTTGAGCAGAGAAGTGCAGCAAGCAGATTTGTACTTCTTCAAGCAGCAGAAAAAGGAGTTTTATCTAGTGGGTGTATTCGACCTGGTGAAGCAGTGGGATGATTGCCTAAGTGCAATTCTGCATGGCTGGCATCTGGACTGTACAGCTTTCAAATGGAAACTTTTTATTGCCCCTTATGTATCTTATCACTATAAACAGTAAAAGATTTTATTGAATGTATTTGGAAACATTGAATATTTTGTGCAAATTGTATGCGAAGCAACAAAAGTGCCTGCATGTAGATGTGGTAAGCTTTTTAAATAACCGTATTTTCTTGAAATCTCAAAAATTCTCTCAAATACCTCTTTTTACGTCACAAATTTAAAAAATATCCACTAATTTTAGATTCTTCTTCTGCTTAATTGGTTCAGGGATAGAAAAGGGTTATAAAGCTAAAATTTTGCTTAAGTTCACATCTTCATTTTAGACATTATCTTGCAATAAAGACAGATTTCAGTATTACAGTAGTACTTCTGTGTCTGCAGTTAATTTGTTCCAGGACATACTGCAGATATCAGCAAATTCTATGTAGGGCAGGATATTCGTGTAACATATATAAATTCAGTGAAGTTTGATGAATTTGGCATAATAAGATGGCATCAATATTAATAAGTGATGGTCAAATATAGTATTAAATCTCACTTCATAAACTCACCAGCAAGATGACATCCTAAGGAACAAAATGCCAATCAGAAAACTTTATATTACTGTATTGCTAATACACATGCCTGTCGTGACCAGACTGCAGCTGTCTGACATCTTGACTGCAACTCATGAGCCACTTCTGGCTCTTTGATGCTTGCATCAAATAGTAATTTAATTTCTCAAAATGCTATTGTATTTTGAAATGTAAATCATGCAATAACAGTTTTCTCTATTAATCAGTTTATTTCTTTTTATTATATTATGTATGTAGTAATTTAATCAAATCAAACTATCCACCACATACTTTTCATCTGAGTAACCAGCAAAATTGTAAATAATTCTGTCTGCCAGTTACAATCTCAGCCATGTTATTTTTACAGCAGGTAATGGTCTACGTAATATCACAAAATAAATATAGAAATGCAAAAGTAATACTGTCTAATTAATGCATTTAGATTAATTTTATATCTGCCAGGTTCTGCTTACATTCTTTCCTTGTAATCCCCCTTGCTTCACAAGAATCATGATTGAACATCTTAGAAGGATTTGCTATTTCTTGTAAGATTCTATGTTTATTTATTGAATGGCTTAATTAACTGCTGAAGAAACTCTTTTAGAGAGCAAAATTACTTCCATACAGGGATTCTTTCGATTTAGCAAGGGATTTCAAATCTGAGGATTTTATGTTTTGTGAGGTAAATCTTCCCACTCGTGCTTGGTTTAACCACTTATATGTTTTGCCTGAACACAATTTGGGTGCTGTGAACTGGGACTGATTTGCCCTTACACCACTTGGGCAGTGTATTTTTCTACACGAATCCTCTGATTTTCCTCTGTTTTTTCACATCTTTGCAGTGTTTTTAACAGATGTCTCTAGAGGTCCGGGAGAGATTGCATTGCAAAACCAGTTCAAGGACAGGTTTTACCACTTTGCATTATGAGGAGAAATTAAACGAGTTTGCACGTGTTCAGTATATTAGGCTTTGTGAATAGTATTTCTTCCCAATTTTGTCATGAAATTGAATAAAATAAATAGAAATAATAATATAAATAAAATAAGTCATTTCAAGATTTTGAGTTGAAATATTTATGATATCTTAAGATTCAAAAGATTTGAATGATGAAAACAGCTCTTAGATTTGAGATTTGAAATTAAGAATTATTCTGAAAGATCTTTAAGAACTGAGGATTTGAATGTCTCAACCATAGAAAATCAAAATGTAGCTTGTAGTGTATTTCGAATTTAATGAATGAATTCAATTGTTTAATTTTTAATTTAATCTCTGTGTGTTGGTCTTTATGTTAATTTTGTGAGAAAAACAAATTAATTTTTATGCAAAAGTCTAAAAAAGTTCATAGCTTATTTTTAAATAATTTTTCTCCAGTAACAGTTTCTCCTCAATGTGCACTGCTCTTTATCGTGTATTTTATTCTTTTTAAAAAACTACCTAGGAATTAATAAGAAAATTTTAAAAAAAACACTCCATTTTTTTTTAAATTAATGGTTTATTCTTTGCTTAAATAAAAAATGTTTTTCATAGTTGTGTTCATAAATACCAGTACATGTTTTTACGATTTCAGTTTACTTCTATTAAAATCAAGCAACAGTCATAAAAAAAAGTAAGGATAGAAGGAACCGAAAGAAAATGCTCAGTTTTTCTACCTGAAAGAAGAGTCCTTAACTGCATAGTATAAAAGTTTCAAATATGCATTTTGTTGGGATATACTTTTCTGAATACAGAGCGAGTGATATAAGATCTATTCATTTATATGTAATCATTTAATTACATAAAAAATGTGAAAAACTCATTAGTTTTTAGTGGGATTTTTTGCTTGGTAACTATCTCTCGGAAGCAATGTCAATTGATTTGGACAACAAGAAAATAAATTCTTTCACAGCATCTTTATCTGCATCAGCCAATTCTCCACTGAATTTAATATTATGTAATCAGCTCATATGTCCATGTCTCAAGTATTTGAACCAGCCGTTACTTGCTTAAGACACCATTTAATCTAGTCATTCTTTATGCAAATTAAAAGCCTTAACTTGAATAATTGAGAAACTGAGGGGACATTGTTTTATGTTGATCATCAATCCGTGATGACAGAGATATTTCTATTTTATCCGTAACTATACCTTGTCTTTTGGAAACCATCTTTAAAGATACATTTCCACAATTTTGAAAATTTCTTTAATTTTACTCTTATTTTTCAAATCTGAACCTATAGTAGATTTGTTTACAATGTCTGGTTGAAGTAAAATATTCAACATTTTTAGAACGCCTAATTATTTCCATCTTTGTATCGATGGTATGAAGTTTATGTGTCCTTAATTTCTTTTTTGCTTGTATTAACACTGCACTTTCGTACTCATGTTTATCAAATTAAAGGATGAAATATTTTAAAATAAACAAATAAATTGGCAAAACATGCAACACATTGTTGCACATACTAACGGAAGACAAACTGTATTGACCTCTTGCTCGGAACAACACAGTAGCGATTTCGATTCTTTAGAAGTATACTATTTGTAAGAAGTAATGTGTATCTGTGTTGTATGATACCTCACCCCTACGCTTATTATGGCTACAAGCACCTCCTGCTAACAAGAGTAAGGGAAAAAGATGGAACATATGACTTGAAAACAGCTGATGCATGAGCGAATTTTTTTCATAATCCACAAAAATCTTTTTAAAAATGTGCGAAAGTCGAGGGCAGCCTGTAAATATGCAATGTAAACTCCTTGTGTTTTATCTTCTGGATTTCTCATTGTGAGTGAAGTTTGAATCAAGAGTGCTTTTAAGGAGTATCAGTAGCTTGCTGAGTTTGAATGAAACCATGTATCCAACATCAAATTTGTACATCAGACTGGTGATTGTAATGACTGTGCTGCCATTCTTGAGAGCAATTTTCAGGACATTTTCCAACAGGATAACACTAATTTTCATACTGCTGGTATCATCCAACATACTCTACAGAATGTTGGCATGGTGCTTTAAGCTGCAAGATCACCCGTTGTTTCTCCCATTGAGCATGTATGGGACATGATGGAAGGGCAAATCCAACATCATCTGCAACTGTCATGGACTGTTGTTGATTTGACTGACCAAGTGCTACAGTCATGAATTCCATCCCACAAAATGACCTATGTAACACAATGCATACATGTTTGTATGAAACTACAGTGGTTATTAATTTACCACCATTTCACATTTGAAACGGCTCTTCTCGTGGATACTTTAACTGTGACCTTGAAACTTAAATAGGCTACCTATACAAATGCTTTGCCTACATTTCATTCCTCTAGAATGATTTCTCCTTGCTGTTGTTAGAATTTCATCTTCCATCAGTGTAGAATATCATTTATGACGGGTGTAACATGAATATCAGTCTTTTAGTAGGATATCATTTGGGTATCTTAGACCTATAAAACATAAGATTTGCTATTTTAGAATTCATGGAAGATAAACTTTCTTCTTTTAGGTTAACAGTTTGTTTTTCAAGCTTACTTTTTATGAAATTTGTTGAGTATGTAACTCTCTCTCTTTAAATGATTTTTTCTGTGTACTTAAATTTTGAATAATATTAAAAATGTTCACAATCACTCATAGTGACTCTAAGGCATTAATTTTAATTTATAAATATGTTTTGTTTACAATTTGGACACATTTTAATCATAATTAAGAAAGGCCTTACACATGTAATGCTGCTCTGTTTTGTGTGTAAGGCCTAGTTTCATTAAATAGGTAAAATTCTAGATGTATATATGGAATAAATGAGCTCTCGCATAGGTGTCACCTTTAAGTGGTAATAACAAAAACTTGTATGTTTGGTGAAGCATATTTTGTTCTAATTTATTAATTAACTTTCAGCATCACTTTCTCCTGATTCCATGCCAGAGACTATGTCAAGCTGTGACAGAATGTTTGATGTCTGGAATGATACATTTAATAGCACCGAAGCTATGGGTTTTGCTGGAAACTTACAGGATAGAGATCATGAAGCTATTGAGAGAGTATGATGTTTGACATTATTAGATTTTTATTGTTTTGATATATTGGGTGAGTCAAAAATATGGCTATATGTTTGGTCACTTCATGTGGTAACAATATTATGGCTATGGAAAGTAAGAGAAGTGTCATTAAAAAGTTGCATTGGTGCTACTATGAGCCCTTCTTATAGATTTTCTTTTCTGGGTGGTTCCCTTTCAAGCATTTTCTCCTCTTTCTCATGATGAGCAACAGTGCAGCATAAAACTGCTTCTTGCTAGTATCATGGCCTTGATAATTATTCTAGTATGCAGCTATTTATGCTGTAGCATTATGTTAATTAATAGCAGAAAGTTATGCACATGACTCATTCAAAATGAAGAAATGATGTTTAATATGTGTTTAGCAACAACACTGTATTTCAAATGCGTGCCATATCATTGCTTCACCCTGTATTCCATTCTTCTAGTTTAGAGTGTGGCTTATGATAATACTGAAGAATGTGACATTGATGTATTTTTAACTGCATGATCTACAAACAATAGCCAAAAATAAGTTGTGGTACTTCAGATAAAAAAAGGTACATTCTTATTCAGTAATGGAATTTTTACATGAAATATTTATAAGAAGTATTAACAAAAGGGTTGTGAAATGTTTAAATTGAGTACAAGAAATCAAAACACTAAAACTGAATACAGGACGAAGTCCATTATCCGGAATGATCTATAATCCGGACCTCAAAGCCACAAAAATTTTTTGGTATGCTTTATGCATGCGCATAAAGAACGCACATACAGTGCGCATGCGCTCATTAAAAGAAATGTTTAATAAAGTAAACAATTAAATATTTTCTCTCTGGATTGGAGGGAAAGCGTCCGTAATAAAAAAAAAATTTAAAAAAATTCGTTGAGCATGCGTAAAAGCACAAGGCGCCGAAGGAAAGCCAAGCTTCACAAAGTAGAAGAAGAATAAATATTAAGCTTTTATTTTGTAAAATTTGATACCTTTTAGATCATAATTGCTCTTTATTTCATAAATTACTGTTTCATATTTTTAATTATATAATTTCTGCATGCCATTTTACCAGATTTAAATTGATGGTCTATAATAATCCGGAATCGTCAAAGTCCCGACGAGTCCGGATTACGGACTTTGTACTGTATTTAGTTATTGTCAGTAGATGGAATTATATTTAAAATCCATTGCATAAATTGCCACAAAATGCACTAGTTAATGATTCCATCATATAAAGTGATTTGTTAATAAGGAAGCACACTTATTTTATTAGCTTTAGACTGTGGGAGCCTGAATGTGAGCTTAAAACCAATGGGTGTAGGTTTGACTAACAGTTTAGTCTTACCTGTGTGTGCTTAACCCTCTCTTCATGGGTTTAACATTGGTTGCCCTTTGTGGTGCTATCTGGGCAGTGCTGTGAATGGTGAGACTGATGAATGCTTAAATCATTCTGGGCAGGTGTCTCACATATGCTTTCCTTACGAACATCCCTCACTGCCAGGTATCCCACCCATGCATTGCTGGAGAATGATTTAGGGCACAAGTGATGGATATGTGTATTTTAAGCTGAACCATTTTTAAAGCCCCTAGATGGTGTCCTATGTGCTTTACTGTTGAACTGAATATAGTTTTTAGGTTCCTGACCATCAGTTTGATCATATTCTACGTAACTATTGCATCATTTGTTATAAGGGAAATTGCAATGTAAACAAACATAGTTCGACTTTTTAACTTACTACGTGATATAAACATTCGCGTTTCTGCTATCCCTTCGAACGTGTTTCGTTCTTTTTTTCACTACTATGTAGGGTCTTTCATAGTTACTGTGTGTGTTCTGTTATGCTTCATGTTACTTTTGTCACATATATTTCACATACTTTCCTTTCTACACTCATTTCCAAAAGTTAAGCACGGAGAGGAAAATGTTAATTTCCGGAAGCCAATCAGAATTGAAGAGGATGCAATTCGCTGCAGATGTAGATGGAAGTATGCAAATATGTTAGGTAACAGCGCTTTCAATCGCGCTTTCATATCAAGAAATATGCAAAAAAGGCAGTCTTATATGAAGCCAGCTTTATGAAGGGTTACAGAAGTTGATTGAAAGTGCTGATAGAAGGTGTTTAAAACTCTTGTACAATTTGTATTCGAGACATATGTGTTTCTATAACTTCCAGAAGACAAATGGAGGATTCTGAGCGCTGCCGTGCTGTGAGGTACATTGAAGCAGAACAGTCGATCACAGATGTTGCTCTTTTCTTCGGCGTTCATCATTATGTAATTTTACGTTTATGGAAACAATTCCAAACCACACAGACAGTGTTCCGAAGGCCCATAGCCGGTTGCCCAAGGCTCACAATCCCTGCGGAAGATCAATATATTGCTATTGTAGCCAAGCGGAATCGCAGAGCGACCTCCACATGTGTAACCTCTATGGTTACAGCATCCATTGGTAAGGCGATATCTGCAGCTACTGTATGCCAAAGATTATATATAAGGGGACTGTACGCCCGGGTACCTCGAGTTTGTGTTCCTCTATCTGTCCAATCAAAAGGGGCACGATTACAGTGGTGCCGGAACATGTCAATTGGAATGTATCTCACTGGGGCAATGTCATGTTTACTGTGAGTCAAGATTTGCTGGAGCCAGATGACAATGTATAAGGATATGGCTTGAACAACAAACACACAGTAGTCCCAAACATCACCAAACGTGCATTCCGAGGCGGAACATATGGTGGCAGGTTTCATTAGGATACTGTACCGCCGCCATCTTTAAAAAGGGTCATGATGCTGTCGGTATTGAAATGAAGCCTAAACCTATTCTGAGATTGTACGCTCAGTACTTTTTTTTATGAACTTAACGCCACATCTCATTGAGCTACATCTCGATGACTACCTGGAAGTGAAGGGATGTGCATATTGCATGGCCAGCATTCACCAACCTAATCCATGAAGTCTTTGGGATGCTCCGACTGTGATGTATCTTTACGTTCCCACCTCAGCCATCTTATTGAGGGAACTGCTAAGAAGAATGTGATTGCTTAATTCTGCGTGGTGACCACTAATTGAAATTATGGTCACAAGGTGTAAACTTTGATACAGAGAGGAATCACATACCCATTAATGTCTTTTTTTTTTCTTTACTGTTTATTTTCCTTATACATGATCTGTTTAAGTCTCCAGTACGTATTATCTGATAATTACAAAAGTTAATATATATATATATGCGACTTTCCGCTAATTTGTGTCATCAAGTAGTATTTGTTGATTTTTTTGAATTTTACATCTTCGTGCTTAACTTTTGGAAGTGAGTGTATTTTGTAAAGCCTTGGCTTCAGTTTATTATGGTGAGCAAGCATTATTTATCAGAGCAAAGATATACTCACATGGTAAATGAGCCAATCAGTGACAGGGGTGAGAGTGATGATTCATTTTCTAAAGAGTTAGCGATATGTCTAGTGATTCTGATAGAGACATTTTATCAGAGACTGAGCTCACTCAATGCCTGCCTGCCTTCCACTTCTCATTAAAGATTTTGTTACTTTTTGTAAATAGTCTTTCTTGTATTTTTTTATTAATTTTAAAGTGTATTAATGTATTTTGTCAATTACGACTTTGGAATAATTTGAATAGTACTTCCAAAAATAATCCCTCAAGATAAGCAATTTTTTAAATATATTTAAACATAAAATAAAGGGAAAAAATTATTAAATGCTAATTTTAATGTATATGATAGCTTAAGTAATAATCTAAAATGGTACCAAAGTTAGGACCTTTTTTTGTGATTTTTATCTAAAATTAGGCTGAGCGATGCAAAGCTCCAATCCTGTGGGATCATTCCTTTTGAATCCCATCCATCCTGATGGATTGTATTAAAGGTGGGCTCTCTCTCAAAGAAACATTTGAAAAGAAAGTTGTGCATTTTTCTTTCTTATTCATCAAATGTAAAGGGGGCCAATTTTCTAACGAGCAATTAACTTACTTTGTGTTGGTATGGCAGGAGAAAAGAGAAATCACTTGTGATCAGAAAAACAACCATGCTGCTTTAAGAAATTCGAGTTATCAAAATTACCAGTTCATTGGAGATTCAATCACAAATCATGGATGAGTAGAGATAGTGATTGATTAGTTAGGGAGAAAATTGAAAAAAGGAACTGCTTTTTATTGACAGTTCAACCTTTCATCCTGATTTGCAATTAGAATATGTGTAAATAATCATTTTACCGTCACCCCAAATACTACATCAGTTATACAGCCTTAAAGTCAAGGTACCTTTTGTTAATTTAAAATATCACGTAGGAAAGTAGTTTTAATATCAGTGATTGGGAAAATGGAATCTTCATCGTTTGCAAAAGATTTAGCAAGCAGTCGCTGTTTTAGATGCAATTGGATGGATCAATATTGCATGGAAAGAAGTTAAGCAAAAAATAATAATAAATTAATTTATGAAATCTTTTTTATTTCCTGCAGTATTTACTACTGAAGTTGACAATGAATCTGAAATTAATTTACAACCATTAACAAATGCACTTAGCCCACATACTGTTTTGGCTTACTTTTATACTTTAATTCATGAGGTACCAATAGTAGAATGTGATGAATCAAATGTAATAGAAATAGCAAGAAAACTTACAAACCAAAAATTTTGAAAAAGAAACTAGATGAAAATTATGAACAATTTATCAATTCATATCTTCTATTACCTTGTCGTAGTGAAGCATGTGAATATGCAGAATGACTTAAACACATTTTGCACTCGTAATAATGATGGGGGATATTTTGCTTTGAAAGTCGCATTGTAAATACAAAATGCCACTAGAAATGTATTGGTGGTTATTTTGAACAAAAGTAAAATTACACATTAATTTATGAATTCATAATAATTTATGGTTTCTTATCATTATGAATTTAATGTTTTTAATAAATTAAAAAACTGGCAAGAAATTTTAAGAAAAAACAAAATAACTCCTGATAAAGGTGAATTGCAGATTTTTTTAATAACCTTAGGTTTAAGTGCCTGAAATGTTCTGTAT